ATTGCAATTTGCATATAGGAAGGAGAGGAGTACAGAGGATGCTTTGCTAGTTATGCTGCACAATATTTAATGTCATCTTGATCGGCTCAAGCAATACGTACGTGTTCTTTTTGTAGATTTTTCATCTGCATTTAATACCATCAGGCCCCATATTATGATGGAGAGACTACTGCAGTTAGGAGTAAATGGTCGCATTATTAGATGGGTAGAGTCTTTTTTGATTGACCGAGTACAGTGTGTCAGAGTAAATAAGGCAGTGTCTTCTCCTATTTACACTAACACAGGAGCTCCACAAGGGAGCACTATTTCCCCAGTCTTATTTACCCTTTATACAAACAAATGTAGAAGTAACACACCTGAGCATGTTACTATTAAATTTGCTGATGACACAGCAATTGTTGGTCTTATTAAAGATGACGTGGAGACCAGCTATCGGGAGTGGGTTGAGCAGTTTGAGGGATGGTGTAGGGGAAAGTTTTCTTCTGTTGAACACCAAGAAAACAAAAGAAATTATTTTTGATTTCAGAAGTGTTACAACATCCACCAACCAATTACTGTGGATGGAGAGAGTATTGAAATGGTGGATGATTATAAATACTTGGGAACAATAATTGATGCCAAACTGTCATGGAATTTTAATACAGATGTTATTTATAAGAAAGGGTTACAGCGTTTATATTTTATGCGTGAACTAATACTTTTTAATGTGGACAGAGATATATTGGTTCTTTTCTATCGCTCCTTTGTGGAATGCATACTAACTTTTTGTTCCATTGCCTGGTATTTTACATTGTCAGTGAATAATAAAAATAAACTGCATAAGATAGTTAATCTGTCCAGTAAGATTGCCGGGGTACAGCAAACTAGCATGACAACGACCTGTGAGTCCCGATTGGTGAAGAAGGGGCAGGCAATTACTAGAGATGTATCACATCCCCTATTTGGCGAGTATGAGCTGTTACCATCAGGCAGACGTACAGGGTGCCATCTCTCCGAACCAACCGGGCCCGCAGGTCATTTGTGCCTACTAGTATTGGATTTCTTAACAAGCGATGAGATGAGATAATAAAACAGAGTTGAATCTTGGGGGGTCGGGGAGTTGCACCTTTGCACAATTTGCATAGCACTTAAGGGGGATGTTTGTGTTGGCAAAGCAGTTGTTTGGTTGTTGGTCTGTTTATGTTTTTGATCTGACGTTTGCTGTATGACACAAAATGAATTTCCGTAAGGACTAATAAATATCTATCTATCTATCTATCTTTGGGATGTGGTGGAACGGGAGCTTCATGCCCTGGATGTGCATCCCACAAATCTCCATCAACTGCAAGATGCTATCCTATCAAAATGGGCCAACATTTCTAAAGAATGCTTTCAGCACCTTGTTGAATCAATGTTACGTAGAATTAAGGCAGTTCTGAAGGCGATAGGGGGTCAAACACAGTATTAGTATGGTGTTCCTAATAATCCTTTAGGTGAGTGTATATAGTCATTGGTTTTGTCACCAGCAACAACACGTTGCTCAGCTTTGTTCCAGTAAGTTATGCACCGTAATACCGTTTTTTAGCTTATATACCATAGCTTATACCATAATAGCTTATAACGTCTCAGGTTATGTATGTAACCCTGGTTTCTCTGAGAGGGAACGAGACGCTGCGTTTAGAGACGCGGTGGGAACGCTCTGCGTGATTACGTCGTGAAGCACATGTAAAATCAGTCCAATGGAAGCCCGAAACGTCTTAGGCGGGTGACGTCATAGACCAGGAAACTATAAAGCTCCCCTGAATTCAGACCGCGCCAGCTACTGAAAAAACCTGAAGCAAGTCGATCAGGGCATGCAGGAAGTATGGCAGGCAAACGCAGCGTCTCGTTCCCTCTCAGGGAACCAGGGTTACATACGTAACCTGAGACGTTCCCTTTCAAGGGAACTTCGAGCTGCGTTTAGAGACGCGGTGGGAACCCCCATACCCACTACGCCATAGTGACAAATGCCCGTTCTGTGTGAAGTCCTTGGCGCACACTAAGAAGCAAGCAACCTAGCCCCAGGCGTGGAGAGGTCAAGGTCATAAAACCTAACAAATGTATGCGGAGAGGACCATCCTGCCGCATTACAAATGTCAAGAAGGAAAACACCCGAAGTTAAGGCCGTAGAGGCCGCCATACTCCTTGTAGAATGGGCCCGTACAGCCATAGGTGAAGGCTGACCGGCCGCTTCATAAGCCAATAATATAGCCTCAACTATCCATTTGCTCATTACCTGTTTAAATGCAGGGCACCCTCTCTTGAGTGACCCAAAGCAGACAAACAATTGTCCAGACTTACGCCACAGGGCAGCCCTGTGAACGTAGGCATCTAATGGACATAACAGGTCAGTTGTTCCTGATCTGGGGTATTAAAAGGTGGAGGATAAAAGGCCTGCAGCACTATTGGGCCCCCAACATTAACTGGGACCTTAGGAATATAACCCGGTCTAGGGTAGAGAAATGCTTTCACCATACCAGGTGCAAATTCCAGAAATGAGGGAGCAACCGACAGGGCATGCAAATCTCTTGATAGACGAAATAGCAAGGAGAAATAAAGTTTAGAGTGAGGAATTCCTCTGAAACCTCTTCAATGGGCTCGAAAGGAGCCAAAGCCAGACCCTCAAGTACAATGGCCAAATCCCAAGCCGGTGCTCTAGAGTGCAGTGCCGGTCTCAACCTCAGTGTACCACGGAGAAAACGAGTAATAAGAGGATCTCTCCCGATAGAAGTACCCCCCCAAGGGGTGTGGTAGGCAGATATAGCCGCCACGTAAACCTCTAGGGTAGAAGGAGATGACCTAGCAGAGAAACGGTCTTGCAAGAAATCAAGAACTGAACCAACAGGGCAGTTAACAGGATCTAAATGACGTTCACCACACCAGGTGGAGAATAATTTCCATTTCAATGCATATAGTTTTCTCGTGGAAGGAGCTCTGGATTGGAGAATGGTCTCAACAACCTCAGTCGAGAGACCGGATTCTATGAGCCGGGCCCCCTCAGAGGCCGAGCCCACAGTATCCAAAACTCCAAATGAGGGTGAACTCCCAGGAGCAAAGATATCGGGAAATGCGTAGCGGTGTAGCGTCAACCACACCTAATACATCACATCCAGTCCAAGTGGAGCTGAAGAGGCTGGTTGTGCCGCTACGCGTGGGTTGTATTTTCCCCCACATGTTTTAATAATTTTTTCAATCATGATAGAGCCAGTTTCACGAGTTTACATGTTAATGAAATCTGATGTAATATAATAATGCGTATTTGGCTTGCTGTCCGGGGGGAGGGCTCCGAGCTCAGAATTCGGCCCGACCCCAGAGTACTCCCCAAAATGCCAGATAAACGGAGGACAGCGAGCGTAGAATTTAACCCCCCAAAAAGTGAAGGGTATGTGTTTACCAAGGAACGAGCTTGCCAGTTCGACTGGGAAGGCTCTCGCGACGACCGACGGGAACTTGGATGCTCACGGCATCGGTCGGATAAGCCCATTCTGCAGTTGAACTGACAGCTCGCTGACGCAGGAATTATGCGAGCGTGAATTTGTGGACGAATTTAACCGTTCACCCAGGAGAGCTCTCGCAGCGTCCGACGGGAACTTATATGCTCGCGGCATGGGACGGGTAAGCCTCGCTGGGTTGGACGGAGGGCGCCCGCTGGACTCGGTCGGGAGGGCTCGACCGGCGCTTCGAAGGGGGGGCTGGGTCACGGGAAAGACTCCTCACGTCCCGACGAATGGGGAGCCCTCCTGGCGACACGAGCGCGGACGTCCGGCGACGACTAAGACGGGCAGACTCTCACTGCAATTCGAACGGGAGGTTTCAACCAGCGTTTTGGAAGGGGGACGGAACCCGGCCTTCGAACGGGTGAGTCATCGCTGCGTGCGAACGGGGGAGTCTGCATGTGATTGAAAAACGTACCTTATGAATATTGAGCGAGTGTGCAAGCGGCGAGCCCAGATGTAATCGGAAGGTGTAAACGGATGTAACTGAAATGGGGAGCAGCAGGTGGTAATTTAATTAATTAGTTAGGGCTTGGTGAGCATTTTTGATGAAAAAACGGCTAGACCTAATATAGGTTTTGAAGGCATCCGATGACCAGCGACCAAGGGTTTTGATTTGTTGTTGGGAGAGACCTTTTTGAGCAGCTGTGGTGGCTGCTCCGATGCGGAATGAGTGGCTAGAGAAATGCTCTGCTGAGACGCCGGATTTGGTAAGGATTGCTTTTAGATGTTTTTGGAACCAGAATCTCGTAGCTGGATGATTGGAGTCGTTAGTAAAAAGAGGGTCGAGTGGGGATTTGGACGAGGAAAGTTTGTACTGCAGGTAATTAAAAAGCGCATGGTACGGTCGGATGGGAGTTTGAAGATTGAAAATATAGACGAAGTGGCCTCTTTTGTCTCTGTCCGTTTTGCTTTGTTTAATGAAAAATGATATGGTTTCGTTATCTACGATCTGAAGGTCTGAAATTGCGGGATGGATATTTGGGTCGAATAAGGAAGTTATGGTCAGTTCGGAACAGCGGAGGAAACCGAAGAATGCTAGGATGAACATGGCCTCTAACGTATATGCGGTATTGATGGAGTGGTATCCAAGACGGAGTGATGAGATGCATCTGGTGAGTATATCGATTGTGATTGGCTGTCTGGTATCTGGGCGCGTGGGGCGGGATCTTTGGATTCCCTTAATTAGAAGGGACGTTTGGGAGTTATTTATTGCAGGTGTAGGTTTACCGTGGATTAATTTATGGAAAAATTGAATGCCGCTTAGATAGCTTTTAATGGATCCGGCTTGGAGACCTTTAAAACTGTGAAGATGGGATATGAATGAAGTAACTGTTAGAAGCGAAAATTCGGGAAACGACAGGTTGTGAGAGAGATGGAATGATTTGAACGATTTCCATGCGGTGTAATAAGTTTGCAGGGTTCTGGGAGAAACGGCTTGGAGGATGGATTCGATGGACGTGTCCAGGAGGGATTTTAGCGGATGATCTATGGGAAGATCAGCTGAGAATAAGGAGGTACTGGAGTTGGAGTGGGGTCTGCTTCTGGTGCCAGCATCCTGAACTTCTGAAACGAGAAACGGGAGAGAGAGTCAGCGATTTGATTTTGAGCCCCTGGGACGTGGATTGCAGTTATTAAGAACTGGTCGCATGCGGAGGTCCAAATGAGGCGTCTAAGGAGTGGCATAAGCGCAGGTGAGCGAGAACGACCTTTGTTGATACAGTACACGATTGCTTCGTTGTCGCAATGGATTTGGATACTTTTGGATGACCATTCTTTTCCCCATAGGGAAGCTGCGACGACTATCGGGTAGAGCTCGAAAAGGGCAGAGGAGGCTGAAGACTGGGGTGTGTCTAGGAGCTGGGGGGGCCAGGAGGACGCGAACCAGCGTCCTTGGTAATAGCCGCCGAAGCCGATCGAGGGAGCTGCGTCTGTGAACAGTTTGATATCGAGGGGGAGAGAGATAAAGTCATCATAGAAAAAAGTTAAGCCATTCCACTGATTAAGGAAATTAATCCATAACTTAAGCTCGTTTTTTGACTCGTCGGAGAGGATGATCCGATCTTCCAGCGCATGAACGGATGAAGAGAGGGCTAGGAGATGCGCGATAAAGGGTCGGCCCTGTGGAATAATGCGCATCGCATAATTTAGGTGGCCCAACAGCGAGAGAAGTTCGCGTTTTGCACAATCTGTGCTGTCAGTAAAATTGGATGCGATTAAAATAATGCGATCGATTTTTTCCTTAGGCAGTGAGGCTTGGAATTTTGCTGAGTCTAGATTGATGCCTAAAAACTCGATGGACGTAGTTGGACCCGATGTTTTCTCGTGAGCTAACGGAATCCCTAGTTCGGCGAAAACTTTTTTCACTATGAGGAGGTGAGCTTCGGGGACGGTGTCGTGGGGTGAAATTATTAGGAAATCGTCGAGCAGATGGAGAAGATGAGGAATTGCGTAATTATTAGAAAGGATCCAACATATGGCTTCGGAGAGAGTGTCAAAGATTTTTGGGCTGCTTTTGCAGCCGAAAGTTAGGCGCACGGCGAAATAATACTTTTTCTGCCAATTTACACCGAACAAGTGCCATGAATCGGGGTGGATTGGCATTACTTTAAAAGCAGAGGAGATATCTACTTTTGCTAGCCATGCACCTCGACCAGCTATTTTAATCATGGTTATGGCTTGTTCGATATCGTGGTAATTGAGAGAATACTCTTCGAGAGGGATGAGGCTATTGATACTCGGATATGGAGAATTATGGGGGGCTGAAAGGTCGATTATCAACCGCTTTTTCCCAGAGAATTTCCTGGTGGCCACGCCTATGGGGCTGATGCGAAATTTGTCGAACGGGGGAGCCTCGAAAGGACCCATCATGAAACCGGATTCGATTTCTTTTTTAATTAGCTTATTTACTACTCCAGGCTCTGCTAAGGCGGACTGAAGGTTAGCGCAGATAACATTTTGCGTGGGATGGCTTTCTACGCCGGGTTTAAAGCCTTGATTGAGACCTGTCAATAGATAATTTGTGAAGTTGACATCAGGGTGGTGTGATAATTCTTCGGCTAGACGGAAAACATTCACAGGAGTCGAGAGATAGTTTTTTGCATTTTTATTGACAGATTTTTTAACTGGGCATATCACGCGGGCGTGTGCGCCGCCGCAGAAATCGCAGACGTGGAGAAAACGACAGCGTTGTCTTGGGCATCTCCCTTCGTTGAAATTCCTACAAACTTGTCTATCGGGTGCCGAGTATGGTGCTCTGATTGAAAAATCTTCTCTTGCGTGGCGCGGAACGTAACTTGTGGATTTTATGGCATTCTGCTCTGGGCAGGGAGGGATCGATGGATTGATCTGGGGGCATGCCGTGGTGGCATGGATTATGGATCTGCAGATTGCGCAGGAGATATTTTTGCACCCGAGGAAGACTCGGTTATGGAGATCGGTGTCCAACGCTCCCCAATAGGGACACTGATTCCACTGGGAAACGCGGACGGCGCATTTTGCGGAAAACAGCTTGTGGTACGTATAAAAGTGACTACCCCCGTAAGACAACGCGAGCTCAGCTATAATAGACAGATAGTCGTTCAGCTCGCGCCGTCTGTGGGGAAAAGATGAGCATATGACTTCTGTATAGCGGCTGAAGGCTATACAGAATTCGGCTAGTGACAATGTACGTGATGTAACCTGTGCGTTATTTTTTAGAGTGACTGAAATGTCGCCGCAGTCTACTTGGCGATTGGACTCAGCCGGAGGAAACAAGGACAGGAGAGAACCCAAATCAACGTCTGCACCTGCTAAGATTTGAGCTCTGATGTTGTTCGTCACTGGAGGAGGTTCAGTAGCTACTGCATTCTGAGGGACTGGTTGAGGAATGGCTGAGAAGAGCGAGAAAGGAGAACGCGCTTGGAGAGGGTTAAAGGGATGGGAAATCGGGGCTGTGGCCGTTTGCGGAGGCATCCTCACGCGGAGATCGGCCCCCGGGTTAGATGGAGGAGGAGGAATAGGGAGAGCATAGTGTGGAAAGGGGAGGGGAAAGAAATGCGCCGGCGATTGACCGGCTAACGGAGGCATCCTCACGTTAGGGTGAGCACCTGACGCTTGGGAAGGAGGAAAACTGAAAGAAGTAGAAGGGAAGAAACCCGATTGGGGATCGTGTAAGAAAGTGGAACTGCCAGGATCTAAAGTCTGAGGTACCACGATGGGCGGGGCTGAGGAGAGGAGTTGACCTGGAGGAGATTGGCGCTCGACCGTGACTGGTTCCGGGGCGCGGCCCAGGCTAGCGGAAGGTCTGAGACGTCGTGGCGTGGGGGCGGAGCCCAGTGCTGCGATCGGGGCCCGTCGAGCCTTGCTCGCTCGAGCTGAAGGAATTGGAGCTGAAACAGAAGGGTGAGAAGATTGTAAGGTGACATATAAATTAAATAATTCTGCTTTTTTCATCCTGCGGGAGAAATTTGCATCAGAATTAATTAGGGCTTGTCTTAGCCCCTTGACCGTCCACTTCCCTATTGGGGGGATGTTAGGGGGAGCTGGAAGGTGGGAAGGCGCGGAGGAAGACGATGATGAAGATGATGAGATCCTCGCTGGCGGTGGTGAGGGGAGTCTACGGCGTCTTGGGGTATGCGGAGAGGATCTGGAGGGCCGACGTCCCCTGGTTGAAGATGGAGGCTCGATGTTGACGTTGGCTGCTGGGGAAGGAAGAGTTGCTGGATCTGCGCTTTGCGGATGAGATGACTCCGAGATGAAAGATTCATCGTCGGAGGGGAAGAGCTCTAGCTCGGACATGCCTGCACGGAGGCGGAGTCAGATGCTGAGAAAGAAGTCATGAGACAGGAGGTAAGGGAAGGCTTTATTTATACTGGCTTCTTCTTGTGCTGATTGGATGATTACCTGAACATGCTCCTCCCGAACTTTGTTACATAAAACTTCATTTAATAAAGGCTTTTTAATTTTCTAAAGAAGAGTGCCTTGGATTCCCTTTTCTACATGATAATTATATCTTTATTTTCCTTTATCTTTATATGAGAAAAACGTGTATATATATATATATATATATATATATATACATATATATCACTCTGTGGCCACCAGCAGGAAACAACCGAACTGGCAGCGCTGCGACCCTCCTCAGAGAGTCGCCCCTCACATTCATCCATGTCCTTATATACTTTACCCACCAGCGCTGCCTAATAAAAATTTATTCATTATTTAAGATGGCTGGTGGGAAACGTCGGGGTTAATAACGATGACGTCGACTCGGGAGAGAGAAAGCTCGCGAGCCTCTCTTTAACCCGAGGCACTGTCATACTAAGATACTTAATACCCAAACATTACTATAGTTAGACATCTGGGGATTAAACACATAAAATACAAACCGGTTTATTCCACGATCTCGACACCTCAGTGTGGAGATAGGGAAAAAACCGCAGTCCCCGACGAGGAGGCTGAGATACAGAGTTTTCCTGTTTTAAGATACAGTTCATCTAACAAACTCTTCTTTATTTTCAATCTCATAACGTTCAGCTGGCCAGTAAATATTTAACTGGCAAAAGCACTAGATAAAACCTCCTTTAAAAAAAAAAAAAAAAACTCCTCTTTATTCAGCAGAGTTATGAGCTGACTTATTTATTCATTGAAAACTCAAACATCTGCCTTTTTCTTAAGATTTGTATTCGTCTCTTTCTTTTTAAACAAAACACTAACGATCAGGGGCGGACTGGGACCAAAAAGTGGCCCTGGACTTTCTGGCCCCCAGCAGCCCACCACATCCCAAATCATAACACATTGGCCCATGAATGTGCAGAATATTTTTTAACACCACTTATAGCATAAAAATATAACACAATACAAAAATAAATGCTATTTAAACATTTATTTTAAGTAACACAACATATATTAGGTCATATTTGTAAAACCAAAGGGAAACAAACAGAAGAACATTAAGACACACAACATATAAAACTATCAAGACAGCATCAGCTAGTCAGGGGGAGCTAGAGCCATCAGAGCCTATTGAACTGCTACTTTTCGCGCCAAATGTATAATCTGTTAATTTGAAGCATTTCACAGCATCTACCTCTAATGCTTTTTTTAACCGTCGGCTGAAATTGGTCCTCGTCGGCTTTTTTTAGGCCGATTCGACATGTCGGTGAAAGAGGGAACTCTGATTGGCTGTTCAGCTTAGTGAACGAGTCAGTGCACTGCACGAGAATAATAGCAAAACAGCGAGCAAAGAAGTCAAAACAGCACAGATAGAAGGCTGTGCTAATGTTACGTCATATTACCTGAGAGTTCCTTGGCGAATATTTAAATATTAACATGAGAGGAGTGGAATAAAGAAAGTGTTTAGCAGGATTGATATTCAGAACGGTAAGCACGCACTGCTTTGTTTACGGCGTGTATCTGCAGCCGGCAGCGTCGGTTTCTCTTTTTGAATGACGAATATAGACGAATATATCTGCAGAAATAGACAGTTGTCTCATTTGCACGCAGGCGCAGAACGCGCATTCTAGCTTACAGTCGGCTGTAGTTCTCTCGGTGTGTTCAAGTGCAGCTTTTTTCCCGCGACACGGCGATGCGAGGCGACAACACAGTCGGCTTTCATCTGATTCTGCGCTAGTTCATCGGCGTTGGCTTGGTGTGTTTCCAGGACGTTAAAAGAGGGCGTGTTTCAAGATACGCAATGGAGTAGACCAAACTTAACAGGGAGGGAGGGCAATACACTCACGTGCATGCACACGAAACACACTCCTTGTCGGCCGCGCCCGCGCGATCGATTCCCTCATCCATTTGCGGAGAAAAGAAATGTAATACTAGGATTTCCGTCATTTTTTTATATAGGCCTATATATATTTTTTATATGTGTACCGGGCCGGCCCACATTGGCCAACGGCCCACCGGGAAAAGTCCCGGTGCTCCAGATGGCCAGTCCCCCCCTGCTAACGATACCAATTCCTCAGAACTGGAAATCGCAGCACACTAGATCTGGCATGTGAAAGCTGAGAAAGGGCGGAGCCCGTCCCAACCCCCGCTGTCAGATCCGTTTGCGAACCCCGAAATGCGAGCCGTCTCCGTGCCTCGGCAACAGAGAGACCCGCGCGGGGAACGCGAACCGAACCGTCCTCCTCGAAGAACGCCCGTTGGGAGCGGAGCGTCCTCACGGACAGCTTCTCGCAATGCTCACAGTCAGCTCCCTCGAGAACTGACTGTTGGCATGCTCCACTCCCAAACAGCAACAAAAAAGCTGATGGGCAGGGAACAACACAACGTCTATAATATTGCTTGCTCGCCATAATGATAGATAGTGATATATATTGGGCTTGACAAACAATAAATAGACAAGGACAGATTTCACAGAGAGCGCTTGCTGAAGGTACAGAAGCTGGCGCGGTCTGAATTCAGGGGTGCTTTATAGTTTCCTGGTCTATGACGTCACCCGCCTATGACGTTTCGGGCTTCCATTGGACTGATTTTACATGTGCTTCACGACGTAATCATGCAGAGCGTTCCCACCGCGTCTCTAAACGTAGCTCGAAGTTCCCTTGAAAGGGAACCATACTTGACAGTGCTTACAGTGGGTAAACTTTGGTGACCATATCTACATGACAGCAGAGGTCCAGAGCTTTCTAACTGCTGGTCTTATGTGTGTACAGTAGCACCTTCTGTTGCTAAATGACAAGCCTTCAAAGATGGACTGGGTTCAAGGTTCAGAGGTCAATATTTCAAAGCAGGAGTAATGTAACCTCTTCAGACTGACATATGTTACTCTCCAGGTTGAGACCTTTCCAACGACATGTTGCTATAGCCCTCTGACAACATTTTAATTTTTACATATCATGATTTGCAGAATGATTTGCGATCCACTTTGGGCGATAGCCTCCTGTATTGTCCCCAGAGGGATATCTGCCTTGAGTTCAAATGCTTCACACATAACACTTGACATATTGTTTTATCATACAGCTGACATATACTTACAATAAAAAACAACAAAGTGATATGTAGTCAGACTGAAGCACATCACACAGCAACAATATATTGCTCATCTTTCACAAACAGTGACAAGAGCAACACACAACACACAAGAGCATTATATCATGAAGCTATTGCACAACCAGCCTTAAGCA